TAGCTATTTCTCTTTTAATCATTTGTCTCAGAGGTTTCCATGGGATTATCATTTTGTTCTTTCTACACACACACACACACACTCACACATACACACACACACACACACTTACACTCAAAACAGAGGCATGTCAATTAATAGTTTCTCTAACATCTCACTGTAAGCTAAAACAAAATAGTTGATAGTTGATAGTTTGACTACATGATTAACAGCCCATCTCAATCATCTCAAAGCTTCACTTTAGATTTTTTTCTTTTACTCTCAATATTTCATTCCTCCCCAGGAAAACTGTGCTTTAATAAATGTAAAAAGCTAACTTTTATGGGAAATCACAATGAGGGTCACTTTTCTGCTAAAACAAGTTCCATGTAGAATCATTCTAATGAACTATTATTTTGTTTTCTGCTGTAAAATAATTTTCTCTGGAGATGCATTACTGTATTTAACTATAATATCCATTAATTTTTTTCATGTCCAGTTAAAGGCAAACATAATACCAGGCTTACATTCCAAATGTTCAAATGAGGCACAAAAGTATAATTCTACATTCCAGATCCCTTAAAATCATGTTATCTAGCAAACAATTCAAATTGTGAAGGCACCACTGAAATTCCAGTTTTATACATCCTTTGATTTTATATCCTGAAGAAACATTTCCATTATAGAGCTGTTCTTAACTTAGCATGTAAAAGATCTGTGTATACAGTTTCTATTAATGTGAATGCACAGAACCAACATAACTCTTTTTACATATAAATAAAAGAAAAAAAATGCCTAGACAGGTGGTTGTCAGTCATGGTAAGCTTGTGTTCTCTCAAAGGCATTTGGGAACATCTGGATATTGCTATGAAGGGGAGTGTGCTCCTGGCATCTAGTAAGTAGAGTCCAAGAATGGTGATGAACATCCTCCATTGTACAGGACATCTCCCCACACCAAAGAATTTTCTAGTCCAAAATATCAACAATGCCACTTTCGAAAAACTTTAGAGAAGAACAAAAGACTCTCTGGTCAGTATAAATTGGCCTTAGTTATGTCATTTCCTTTTTATTCACTTGGAAAATGAAAACTTTCCAGCATAGATGTCTAACCCTGAAATATGAATAAAATTCCTTTTCCTTACACTCAAATTCTCCACTTCAACTCGAATTCCCAAGCCCCTGAACGCTTTCCTTTTCAGTGTTGAAAACTATTGCTAATGATTATAGCCAGCATTGAATTTCCATTTATAATCTATCATTTCTGTCCTGATGTTTTGAGTTATATGGTACATTGCCTGTGAATGTCCAGATTTGTCAATCAACTTCTTTTTCTGAAAAGCAAGTAAGTCATCCCATGTTGTTTACTTTAAATAAGATGGCATCTTACAAAGAGCAGTCGCTTCTTTCTCTGTATAATCATTGCTTTTAATATGACTTATTTATATTTCATCTCTAAAGCACAGCCTACTTTCTAACTAAATATATTTTGATCATAAAATTATCTTTCAATATGCCCTTTAAAAACTGTAATAGCTCTGAAATAATTTCTCTTGTATAAGATATAACTTTCCTTTTTTCCATTTTTTTGTTGTTGTTGTTTTCTTTTATCTGAAGGCTATTTCTAGGCTTTTTTGGTTAAAGATGCCTTATAAACTTTAGTGTAATTTTGCTACATAAAGTTAACAATGGATAAATATTGTTCTGCATTTGTAATTCATTTTAAAAATTTTAAATAAATAGCAGACAGAGAATGATGCTTTTTTTTTTCTTATAATCAGATTTGAATTTTGCTTGAATTGTACCTTTCAGAGATATCTGTAGAATTCAGAACAGGCAGGTGATACACAGCTACACTTCCTGTCCAGAAGATTCTCAGAATAGTGATTTGGTGTGAAGTAATTTTCATTGCAATGTTTGATCATGGACATCTTTATTAAGAATACAAATACCACATGCCTAAAAATTCTGATATAAGTCATGGATCTCTTCATACAGCATTAAGACAACAAACATCAAACCCAATTGTTACAAATTAGTCTACTTAAGTAGAAAAGGAAAGAAAATTAAGTTTGTCTTCATTTGTGGTGATTTCCTTGAACAGTTCAGGCTAACGGGAATGCAACTTTCTATAAGCTCAAATTCATTACTATAATATTTTATATGTCTAATATTAGACATTTTGATATTATATAAATTATTACAGTCTTGGAGATGAGGCAGATCTTGGAGAACGCTGAGTTTAGGGACCCTAAAGCACAGATTAAAAACTATGAGCCGATGCAAAATCCTGGTTTAATTACTGTTTTTCAAAATTATAGTATTTCTATTTCAATTACATGCAACCTTGATATTTTGGAACAAATTCCCTGAATCAGTAGTGGAAACTGAGAAGCACTTAAAGATTACTACTTCATAAACATGTTCATCTTTAACTGAAGAGATGATAGTTTTTTAAACATGTACGTCAAAACATACTTAGAACTAAGAAGTTATGATTTCTTAAATACATCTTAAGTCACACTGTTAAGTACAGAACTGTGTGGAAAGCTTTTTGGAGCTAATACATTCTTGTCTAATTTGCAGAAATGCTGCTTTTCCAGTATTAGCACCACACACATTTTTGTGTGATGTTTCAAATATTAATCTAAGAGAATATTTGGTTTTTTTTTAATTGTTTGATTTTCATAGAAAAACTAGAAAGTTGATTTGGGATGTAGCTAAATTTTTGAAAGTTTTGATTAACATTAATATTTATCAGTATTTTAATATCTCAGATTTTAAAAACATTATGTCTATCATATCATCAGGAGAAAACCATATTTTCTATAGGATACCACTAATTGCCTCTAATTATAGATCCAGCTGTTTGTTTATTTTATTTACAATACATAGCCTCCCCACTCCCACTTCTGTCAATTCTTATGAAAATGCATAAATGAGAAAATGGGATTTTTTCCCCCTATACATATATATTTTTTAAGAGTTCAATACTAAAAATGGGGGAAACACATTCTGAAGTTTTGACAATAGCTTACCTTCTTTTCTTCTGGGTAATCTCTTTATTCTGGTTAAAAACACAGGAGTATGATAAATAATCAGAATACAGAAAAAATAAACGGAGATAAGTATTGATACTCATTTATGTACAGAATTTGGGTATACTTCATACATCTACAGAAATCAGAACACATATTAACAAATGAAGTAAGTTTTTCTATATGAATAATATCCTCAGGAAATTTAATACATATTCTTGTTCATATTGAATGTTACACTTCACTATATGTGTATTTTGATGATTGGGTTTCTCCTCAAACATTTTTCAGAAATATTTTCCAAGAAAATATTTTCTTTCTCTAAATATATGCAAAACTATAATTAAGTCCATGGCATATGTAAACAAACTGAATGACTTAGAATAGATTATTTTCTGGACTTCTTTCTCTTCATCCAAAATATGAGATCTGCATTATATAATTTTTATGCTTCCTATCGGGTCTATAATTCTGCTAATTCCAATGACCATATAATGCCAAAATAGTGAGTATGCAAGCTAGAGGAGACATCTATAATTTATCATTTTGTTTAACAGTGACATCGTGTTACTATTAAATTTAGGCTAGAAATTATTCCATCTACAAATGTGGTTGCCTGACACCTCTATGTGCACACATCCTCTTTAAAATCATTCCTGGTCAGTGGATTTTTCCAAAATCCTCAAGCATAGCATGTTCAAAGTAAATAAGCCCCCACTGGATTGACGAGGTCCTTTGAGTGTCACAGTGTTCCCTTTCAAAACATGTTCTTTGTTTTCTAGAGTCATCTAACATGGAAGAATAGCCAGGAGCCAAGCCACTACTATTTTGCACATGTAAGCATGCTCCTTTGTTTAAAGGAAATGAAAGAAAAGTAAAACATGGAACTGTTAAAGACAGGGCTAATCATGGAATAGAAAGAGGGACCCACAGAAAAGGGAGGGATAAAAATTAACTGGGAATGGGATCCAGTGAGGAATCGCCAACAGAGAGACATCTTTAGAGCCCGAGGTCTGATTTCCTGCTAGACTCAGAAGGGTCCCCTTCTAGATGCTCAGCTCAAGTGGCCATCTCTTTAATTGGCTGACTCTAACAGCTGATTCAGTTACCACCACAGAAATAGAAATTACAGCTTTCAACCCTTCATTTTATCCTTCTTACCTATAATCCTGTAGTTCCAGTCTGTCTGACCACTTGTCAAAGGTTTTGTTTTGTTTTGGTTTGGTTTTTCTCATTTTGTTTTGTCCTTTTTAAAATTTTCTTTAAATGAGTGTAGCTTCGGGGGGACACTTAAGCATGCTTTTACACAGAAAACAGTAGACAGCCCTGGAAATTCTTGAGGAAAAAAAAAAGTCCTTTGGGAACATGAAATGGCACACAGGGCACACAATAACGATTCTCATAATTGAGATTGTCATGTGTCTTATTAAAAGCTATCATTTACCTGAAGGTCTTTCTTGGAAAAAAAATGCTAAGATGCTTTACAGATTTTACATAAGAATGTTTTTCAAAGCCTTAGTGATCTATTTTCATATGTATGTTGTTTGGTGAGGTCCTTCAAAGGGCTTCAAGGTTTACTTTTATATTTAAAAAAGAGTGAAGATGAAAGGTATTATTTGAATACAGCAGTGCATTCAGTGGCACCGAGATGCTTATTATAACTGCCCTGATGAGACAGTCGAAGCGTCTCATGGATGCCATTCCCCTCTAATGTGTGTTTAGGTGCCCTGGCTGCTGGTTCGCCTAAGTGATGTGGCATACATTTGATGAAAGGAGAGTGAACAACATCAATTATAAAAGACATCTGCTAATGAGAGGAAGAAAAGAAGAGAGAGAGAGAGAGAGAGAGAGAGAGAGAGAGAGAGAGAGAGAGAGAGAGAGAGAGAGAGAAGGAGAGAGAAGGGGAGAGGCTAGAGAAAAAAGGAAAGAAATTCTCCAACATGGAAAGAACAAAGCATTTCCATTGAGCTCAAAGAAATGACATACCTTAATCACATTCTAATTTCAGGGTACAACTAACCAAGCTCTCTACTCTCCTTTGGAGACATTCACGTTTCTTCAGTCTCTGTGGAACTGTCATGGGAGGTGTAGATCAAACTGCTTCAGTTCTGATTTTAAATTTGTTGGTCATTTTAAGATGCCTATGCAAAAGAACAACAAAAGGATTATGTATCACTCAGGCCAAGTTAAGCAAATTAGTTAAAATTGAGTTTTATCCTTTTATAAGGATGTTTTCCAATCCAACAATCCATAAGAATCAGCGAACTTTTAGCATCCCAAATCTTTCTTTTTATATAGGGCTATTGATTTGACCACAGAAATCATTGTTTGTGTGTGTGTGTGTGTGTTTTATTCCATAAATGAACCTCATGAAATAACAACTGGAGATCCCTGAAAAAATAAGCCAATAATTTTGGATATCTAAAGCATGCTAATTAAGTAAAAGGATTACTTTTACTTTTGCTTTGAAAGCATTTCCCATAGGTAAAAATATAAAATAAAATATTAAATAATATTAACTCAATTATTAACAAAATCTATATTTTATTCACAAACATCTTAAATATATTAGTCTTGTTTTTATCATCTAATTAAAAGAAACTAACTTATCTATTAATATTATGTTATCTTTATATCATTCTTCATAATAATAATTGAATTTTTAAATATTGAAATAAGGAAATATTGACTAGGATTAAGGAATGTATTTTTTTTCTCCTTTCAATCAGGCAAAATGAAGGCAAGCTAATGTGTTGCTTTTCTTTTCAATGTTGAATTAGAGAATCCTGATATATTGTAAAAAGAAAACAAAAAAGACCATAAAAAACATTGTTTAGAATGCATGTTTGTTGGTTTTCTTCGGCTACTTGTTATATATTCTGTCTTCAGGAATGTATTTCTATTCTTTCATCTCAAAAGACTATCCATATTTTCTTGAATATATCTCACAGTGCAGCATGGTTTCTTCCCATGAAATTCTGTGATTACTGGCACCTGGAGCAAGGCTCCCAAGTCTGCTGAGGAGGCACAACTAAAGAGGCGTGAATGACCCTGAAACTGCAAGGAAGCCACTGGACAACTTCACATCTTTGGAGGCTGAGGCAGAGGGCATGGCAATGTGGGCTCAACAGTAGAGAAGCTATGTTCTGGCTGAGTTCCGTGTCCCTCTTGTTCATTCTCTAGCTATTCTGTGCACATCCCCTTAGTCATCAGATGACTAACGGGAGGAAGAGTTTAATACGTATAAATAAATATGTCAGCTATTCTTTAAGAAATTTTTAATCACAGAGTATCAGATTTAATGTTACAGAATGTTCAAACAACCTGAAAAATCAACAAATACACCAAGCAACTGGTCGGTTTGGTGGTGACAACATAGCTTTGGACTGATTTATGTTACTGAATTCAACAGGGACTTCTTATCCATATTAATGAGATGGAACTGCTTTGCATATTCAACTTTAATGTTTGAAAGGCAACAAAAATTTACACCCTTTCTTCTCACTCTACAGTGAGCATTTTGGAGTTAATGCTGACTTTAGAGATTGATCCCCAAACAATTTCTTACAACTGGCAAAATTCTTTATGTTACACATAGAGAAACTGAGGATCAGAGACTCACTAAGACTCCAGCAGAGCCGAACAGCATTAAAAATGGAGGCTAGGCTGCCAAACCATCAAACTGGTATTGTTCTCTTTTGATAAGCAAATGAATAAATGCTTGGAGTCTTTAGATGGAGCATTTTAATACCAATTTCATTAGTTAATATTATATTAAATTAATTAATATGACATTTTAATATCAATTTCATTAATTAATAAATTATAAATATCTCATTTAATCGCTATATAGCATTCTCCTTAGACTGGAAATGATCGCTAGACTATATTCTGACATAAGCATCGTGTGAATAAAGCATTAGTTTATTGGTCATAATATCCTCAGTATCTTCCAAGATATCTCTTATTGATTCTGGAGTAATTTGTCACCTCTGTTTCTGTCTCTCTCTTTTCCTCTCTAATGTTCATGTTGACTAAAGACATTTAAGGATCTTAGGAACTCGGAAGAGGGTGGTAAAGTAAAAAAAAAAAAAAAAAGTGTTCTTGATTTTTTAAAAAAACTTTGTTATAAACTTTGTTTTTTTTAATTAAAATGTCCCCGGTGTAATTTCTTGGTCTATTACCCCTGACAGCTACCATCAATTATATTTTAACCTGTTAATGATCTAACACTTTCTAAAACATAAAGCCAAGTTTTGTGCAAGGATCAAGCCCATCTATTAGAGCACAAAGCTCTCAAGTGGGTCGGTGGGCATGCAGGCAGCCAAGGCTGACCTTCCTCAGTAGCTGATCTTTCTTTGTCTCCCAGTCCTAGCCTCTGCACCTACCCATTGCCTGGTACCGACTGGAGGCCAACCAGACGGCCCTTACTGCTAGATGCCAGAAGAAGGTACTGTGGCAGCCAAGGCCCTGGGCACACAAGCTGAAACTTGCATGCTTGGCAAGTCTCAGATGCCAAGGTTTGCATGTCTAATAAACCACTCTCTGCCTCTCCAGTAATGATACCCTGGGGCTGCTGGGAGGGGATTCTTTTTATAGGAAACATACTCATAAGGATTTAATATTATCTTTCTGAACCCTTTGATTCAATAGGTTAAAAAAAAAAAAAAAACAGAAACAACTTTCCTTCTTATTTTCTAGACCCCATGATGGGAGGCAGTGTTAATGCTTTATGTAACAGTAGTATGTAATCAGCTTCCCTCTACTGAGCTCAAGATTCTTTTTCCTTTTCAGCCACGTGCTTTCAAAAAAAAATAAAATAAAATAAAATATCTTGCCACTGAATGTCTTTTTTACAGACTGAAAAGACTTTTAGGTTAAACAACATTTGTTAGGCTTTGATGCAATCAAATGTAATTTCAATCTTCTTGAAATATTCAGCCCTGCCTCTCTGAAATTGCACATATGTGTCAGCTTTCAATTTTTCTCACTAGTGTTCTACACATGAAATCTATTTTCACTGAGAAAATGGAATCTTTGTGTCTTTGTCTCTAGGCGCTCGGCTTTCAGGCGTGTTCTGGCAGGGGCTCTGACTGTCGAGGCACTGGGGGAGGGGCCTGGTAGTCATTTGTCAGCTTTCTTGCATCTGTAATTTCTGGCTACTCGGCACTATTAGAGGGTCTAAGAAAGAGGGTAAGGAAGGAAGGTGGTGGGGGGAGCTTGTCATTGATGAAAGCCAAACCGGGAATAACTGCCCCATGTTAATGACCAAAGAGAGAAGAAGGGAGAGTCTGAAAAACTTTTATTGTGCTTTAATGAAAAAGATTTTTTTTTTTTTTTTGGAAATGGCTGATTTACAAAACTGCACATGGTAACATTCTCAGATCCCAGTTTAGAAAGCCCCTGTCCATATTGTGTTACCGATTTCATTGCTTTTAGCTTGGCAAGGGCTCATTGAAACTATTTTAATTTTCCACCAGTGGCTTCTGGTTATTTCTGCTCTTATTTCCTTGTAACAAAACTGACAGACCAATTAAACATCTGCATTTTAAAATCTGAATTTCCCCCATAACTGTTTTGCTTTTCTCCTTAAACTTCCAGATGTTTTGACTTCTTTATGATTTTAATGCATGCAAGTATATTTGCTCCTATTTCAAAGACATAGAGAAAGCAAGCTAGATGAACTGACCAGATGTTTCTATATGAAAAGCTCTGTAAAACACCAATAATCAGGTCAGCATTTTTGTCTTTCTATGGATAGATTTAAATTAGAATACACCTTATTGTCTTTTGGCACTTAACAGAGTTGATCTTTGCAACTTATTTCTGTGGGCTATTAGAGGTCAGAATTCACACTGTGATATATTCATTAATCGCAGCAGATGAACAAAGTATCCAACTTTGCTATCTTAGTGTCTAGAAGCCAGGAGAGAAACTGCTGTGATTTGGTTTTTATATTTATGCCTTTTTTTTTTCTGTGAGAGATAAGAAGTTGTAAGCTATGTAAAGAAACAATGTATGTTCACTCAGTTTCCTGCTTTGTACAAACATTAAAGGAATCATCAATATCTTGCCTTGAAGTGTCTAGCCAAGAGTTGAAAGAGTCTCTCGTATATTTCAAGAAAACCTGTTTCCCATAATTAATAACAGGAAGCTGGGTAAACAGACTTATGCTGACAAATGAAACTGAAACAGTAACATATATACAGAAACATGGAAAAGAAACAATGAAGCATTGTACAGTTGTGCCATCAGAGTTATTTCGAATGTACTTATGCAGGAGGTACTCACATAAAACTCCAGAATAAAAGATTAGTAATTTTATATTCTCTGTCCATTTAAACACATACTTACAGAGAGCAATAATTTTTCCCACCCTTCGTTCGTATTTACAAGTGATATCAGGCTACTTATACATGTGAAATCATTGTTTGCTAGAATATTGATTTTCAAACAAGCAAAAATGAAGGAAGAGAATACTTTTTAAACATATTATAAAAATTTTTAAAATCCATTTTCCAGGCACACTTTGGGAAAAGTGAACACCTAACAGGAAAATTTTGATGTAAGAGTTTTTGTGTTTTGTTGTTGCTTTTTGGAGGTGAGTGTGTATTTGTGAGTTCTGAGGGAAACAGAATGAGGCAGTCATTAATTAGACACATCACTGGGCAACTGGACCCACAGGTTTAATCTGTGGATAAAGCTTCCCCTGGATCTAATATATCTTCATCTTCTAACATATCATAAAGTATAGAGTGTCCATCTCAGTACTGACCTCAAAAGCAGCAGAATGAGGTGTTATGTAGTGTCTCTGTATTTTAGAAAGACTGGGCTCACTCTAACTTTTTGAATTTTTAAAAATAGAATCAGTGCTCAATTTACAGGTAATGTTAAGCAATGAACTGTTTGACCTTTTTAAAAAAATTTACATGTTAAAAGGGATTAGCCAAGAACTGTTAAATATAAAATTAAGCTTATACATATTTTTATTTCTGTTTGGTTAGGATGAATAAGAGAATGAATTGAATGATGAAAAAATTAAGGAAAAACTTTTGTTTTATGATGTGTTGTATTGTAAACTAAAGAATGCTTTTAGATTATACTAACACTATAAAAAACAAACTTAAATGAGTTATATAGC